TTTTAGTGTCTCTGTTCTGCTGTCGTGTCTTTCAGCGTCTCTTACCTTCAGCTTTTCTGCCTCTAAGTTCTGCTTTCTGTCCTCATGAAGTCGGCTGTCAGCTGGATTTTGAGAAGTTCTCCATCAATAAAGATGCTTGATGTTGTTACCGTGACGATGCAGCAACATCAGCTGGTGATCGGGTCGGTTTGTGTGAAACAGAACCAGATAAGCTCTCCTGACTGGAGCTGCTCGACTTGTTTAATCGTGTCGAAGTGAAGCCGACGGTTTGTGTCTGATGTTGTTCAAAACGCTTTCGATCGATTTGGGCCCAACAGAACCCTTCGTGTGTGAAGGTTGTGTCCAGATGAAGCCCCAGCAGCTGTTTGAAGCTTCAGACGGCAGATTAAAGTCCATCAGAACCTGCAGCAGAACTTTCTGCAGTAAAACTCTACAAGAGCAGGAATAAACGGTTCTGGTCCGAATCTGTGTCCGTTTGTCTGGAGTGACTTTAACTGGTGGACGTTTCTGCAGAACCGAGAAATAAAAACTTTACTGAAACAAACTTTACGTCCGTCGTGTGGATTTGATGTTAAAGAGTCAAACAGCAGAATGACAGAAGCACTGTTCTAACCCTTCAAACGTTCTGGAAACGTTCCTGAAACGTTCCGGAAACACCTTCTAACAGCAGCTGATTAATTAGTGAATGTGTCTGTGATGCGTTTATGTGCAAAGACATGTTGGAAATCTCAGAACCCTGAACAGAACATCTGCCCTCACGCTGCCATCCAAAGACTCACGACCCAAAGAGGAAGTTGAAAAGTAGGAACGTCGTCCAGAGAGCGAAGGCATCGTGGTGGGTCGGCAGAGACCGCTTCAGAACCGGTGATCGTTCGTCTGGAGCAGAACCACAGTTAGCCCTCCAGAACCAGGAACCAACAGAACCTGGAAGCTGCAGATGTTCAGACTCACCGTGTTGGCGCCAAGCGGCAGCGAATGAAGCTTCAGTAACAACAAACTGTTTCCTGATTGGACAGAAATCTGCTTCTTCTGGGTTTTTATGAACTTCTGATGAACAAAAGTGAAACTAAAACAACAAAAAGGTTCAAAATGTTTCGTATTTTTAAAAACTCTCAGTTCAGATGTGAAGAACTGCAAGAAACACAAGAGATGATGAATCCATGAGCAGCTCCAGAAGGTCTGACGGTCACAAAGCAGAAGAGTCTGGACATCCTCAAAGTGACTCAGTGAGAGAAGCTCCAGCCTGCCTGGAGGACTCAGTGGACTCCGGTGGTCTTTGGCTCTCTGGTGGTCTTTGTGGACTCTGGAGGTCTTTGTGGACTCCGGAGGTCTTTATGGACTCTGGAGGTCTTTGTGAACTTTGATGGTCTTTGTGGACTCTGGAGGTCTTTGGGTCTCTGGAGGTCTTTGTGGACTCTGGAGGTCTTTG